ATGTGTGTACACAGCAGAATACATACAGCTTCTGCAACACTGCCATTCAAACTACATTGGAGACATCATCATTGTCCCACCAGCCTTCCAAACACGAATGCCCGCTATTTCCTACAACTGCTAAAGTTGTAAATCAGTATTTTGTAGGATAAAGAGATAGCCAAACAATATCATCAGTGAATAGCCGAGGGTTTTCCAAAATACTAGGTGATACCCTGGGTAAACACATGACCTGCTAAATTCTGACACTGTACCTCCTCTTTACACAAATGCTTCCCTCCTCTTTACACAGATGCTTCCCTAACTTCATGCTCACGAAAATCTTTCATTTATCACAGAAAATGAAAGTTATCACTTTTGCAATTAAAGTCAAACTATAGCTAACACATGCTATCAATATTCACCAGATAACCCCACTGCCTGAAAAAACATCTCTGTTTCTAGCACATTCCCAGAACAGCAATCCACTAGAAAATAGTCTGAAAAAACAAGTGACAAGTTTCCATCCTCAGCAACATAACCAGCTTCACTGCAGTAAGAATGGTTAATCATGGGCTACTAGCCATCTAGTAATCCAGGGCAGCTAGTACACAGACAGAAAAAGTAATTCACTGCTGTAGCAGTACATGCCCCCTCAACTCTGCCACACTGCAAGAACAGTGAGGCCAGATGCACAGCTAAATCCACAAAAGCAACTCAGGCCGAAGTTTGACCTGCACCTGATCCCCACCCAAGTTCAGAATACCATGAATAACCCTCCCATTCCGTGCTGTCCAGCCACACAGACACCACTGAACACTTAAGACAGACTGTAATAACTGCCCTGTGCCCCTACGTTCCTTCCAAATCCACTGCCATTACAACTTGTCTGTAAATCCCCAAAGGCTGTCATCTCATCCTGTAGCCACCTCACACAGTCAGGCTGCAGCCCCATGGATTCTGCAATGGAGTCACGGTTGCTTCACACAGGCAGAAGCAGCACTCTGCTTTGGCAAAGCTGCCAATGACTGAAGCTAAAATTGCTTCCACTCTTTGAGGCCTTGAAGAAGGGCAAGCTGTCCCATAATGCAGCACAGGCAAGTTAGTCAACCCCAGAGTACCACAAATACGTTCCAAAAAACCTCATTGCTAATGTATTTCAGTATGGGGAGAAGAGAGAGGGTCTGCATCCCAGACCATGCAGAGAGGAGAAAATGCCTGATTTCACAGCGAAGCCCAAACTATCCACCACTGGTGAAACATCAGAATGATAATCAATGAGGTTTCAAACAAGTCTTAACAGAGCTCTAGCTACTGACACAAGCAATTTAGATATGCATCAGCTTCTTGGAAAGTGACTATCCCTGTATTTTGACTGTCCTTAAATATACTCAGTTTCTGTAGGACAAAGAATCCACTGTTCCCAACTACAGAAACCTGAGATATCAATATGAACTTCATACCGATAAGTTTTAAAATATTTGTCTTATTTTATCTAGCTAATTATGGTATGTTTGCTTTCCTTAAAGTTGAAAAATAAATTAAAAAATTCTTCTCTGAAGAGTGAAGTGCCTAGGTGACATTTTGTAGAATACAAATTCTTTTCTATCTATCTGGAGAAAGTTGCAAACATATTTTCAACTTTTAAGATGAAAGCTTTCATGCTTATTCCCAAAACATGATTAACTTCCTTAAGATGTGTATGACATATTCAGTTTAAAGTTTGCATTTTTGTGTGTTTTAAGATTATTTGCCAGAAAAACTAAAAACTATCTGCAGAAATGAAATGGACCTAGAAGTTTATTGCCAATTTTTTTTAAAAAAACACAACCCCTCAACATTTTGGTGTCTTGAAAACATGCCTTCTTACAAGCCTTTCTAATAACTTTATAATCTTAAGGAATATGCTAATTGCTCTGCAAGACAGTTCAAAAATTACCATTTCAACATCTTGCGCACAGACTTTACTAACTAGTTCTTTTTACTGAATCTTTATATTTTCCTAATGAATGCAACTAGTAGATTCTTCTTTACTTATGGTATTTTCTTTAGCCAATACATCAATTGTTGCTTTAAAATAAAAAAATCCCTAACCAACAAAATGTCACCAGAACAGTTTTAACACTGTCACTGTGGTGACACTACTAGGAAAAGGAATCAAGCCTCAAACCTGCTTTATAACATATTTTTGTATTGCAAAAGGAGGGGGGATTACAAAGTACCAACAAGAATTCTCATGCACTACCCACTAACTTTAACCTTGGTAGCCATGCACTATCGTCATGTTCCACAGCAGAGACCACAGGCAAACAACAGACCATGAACAACTGGGAACTAGCACAATAGTTACTAATTATTTACTTGTAAAAATCTTTGATGTAGTATCCAGCAGCTTAATTCAGAGAAAAATCACCTAATTTTTCCTTCTTTCACCATTCCTACACAGGGGTTACACAGTACTGAGGTACATATTCTAGTGCAAAACCAACTCAAAGTCACTGATAATTGTTGTCTCTCAGTATTACTGACATGCCACGTTCAAGAATTCTACCAGGCCATTAAAAGCTATAAGGTAAGAAAGCCTCAGTTTTGGAACCTCCTACTTTTGAGAACGGAGGCTGTACTAAAACATCTCTCTGTGACAGAGGTAATTGAAAAAAATCATTACAACAAAGTGGGTAAAATCTGTGTATGTACATACATAAACACATAGAGAGACAGAAAGAACGAGATGCCCCTGATTTCATCGTGCAGTTTGTAAATGCCAATGCACAGCTGCTTTTTTTTTTTTTTTTTTTTTTTGACGTACAGCAGATTCTATAGATTCTACTAGAATCTATATGAATGTACCAACTGATTTTCCCCAGTTGTCTACTCAATGGGGACAAAGAGAGTATTATTCACAGGTAACAAGAGGGATGGTATAAAAGCTGAGCAGAAAGGATGTAGTTCAGTAAGGGAAGAACTAAAGAATTCATTAAGGTGCACTGTGAGGCACAGCAGCTTTGTAAGTGTTCTCTGATGTGCCAATAATGTCATAACAAATACCCAAGTAAACTAATTAAGTAGTTTTCCTTCACATTAACAGTGGTTTCAGTGTTACTCAAGTTGAGGTAATTTACAATTTCAAAAACATGCTTGATCCTCTCTACAAATCACACAAGAAGCCTGGTACCCAAACACTCTTCTGGGGGTGCCTCAACATTTTCCAACAAACTTTGAACAGCTTTTTAGCAAGAACACTGGAAACCAAAGCATGGTTCCGTTGTTTTAATAACACAACATAGTTATCTACCTTAATAGTGTGACAGGCAGCCAGTCTGCTAGGAAAATACCATACCATTACATACAATTTATTTTTCAGGCAATTTTTAAAATGCTCCTTTAAGAAGACACCATATAACTGATGTGCCCCATATTTAAACTCATATGATTCAAGTAGTCTACCAAATAATTTCCTCCACCAGCAGCATGAAGACTGAGTGCATTGTGACACCTCATACATATTTAATAATAGCCTGATAAGCTGTCATTAACATCAAACAGCAATCTAAGTTTGCTACATTAAACATGACCCCTGTGTTAAGAGGACAATCACAAAGTGCCTCCAAAATCGAGCCTGTAAGAAATACCCACTGACTTGGACAAGGTGTAATGAGGCCAACTGCACTGAAGAAGCTATTATTCACACAATGGATTTAAAATAAAAAAAATAAAGGAAAAAAAAAAAAAAGCAGGTGAAAAAGTAAATGCTTCAATGGGTCATAAGACCAGACATGCCATAAGGCAATCTGTCACAGAGTACTCATATTAATATAACTGTTGTGTCAAAACTGAACATCCAAAAGAGAAGACAAACCTTCCTTTATGTTTTGTGAAAAGTAAGCCCACAGAATTAATAATTCATGAGATGAAAAAAAATATTAGATTGGATATAAATATTAACAGTATACTGTCAACTTGTTTAGAACCAAATTTTGACTGTCCTACCTTACAATTATCAATCTAAAATTGAATGTTTTTCAAAAGCCAAAAAAAAAAAATATATCAGTATGAAAGTCATTAATGAAGAAATTAACATTCTCTATTCATGTAAGTCCTAAGCAAAACATCAGAACTCTGTTCTGTGCCCGGCTGTTGCTGAGCAGATGCTAATTGACTGGCATTACGTATTCCCAGAGTTATGCTGTTGACAACAGTAATGTTGGTGTGCACACAAGAAAGTACACCAAAGTGCCATACTAAAACCAAGACCTAATGGAAAAAGTGTAGGGAAAGAGGGGAAGTAGTTGCCAGATGACAAACAAAGATAAAAAAAGCTAGTTAAAAGTTTCAGAACACAAAGTTCATACAAAGGGTCTTGGGTAAATTTTTCTGATTAGCTAAAAAATAGGCATTTAAAAACTACAGAGGAAAGCAATTAATGCATTAATGCACAACCATATATCAGTGTTTGCTGCATATGATTTCAACCAAATATGAAATACATTTTCAGAAAGTTTGTCTCAAGATAAAGAAGTATTGAACCAGACCTATAAAATGATGCAGTTATTTCCATTTCAACCTTTATATTGTCTGCTAAATCGGTTATCAGTTGAAGATCTAGAAGAAACTTCTGCTTTATGACACCAACCCTTCTCTGCTTTCACTACCACTACAGAAAACAGAGTATTGGAACACAAAACACAATTATGCCAAAAATCAGGAATGCTGTCAGAATGTATTGTTCTAAATGGCGGTGACAGTGCTTTTCTTTACAGTTTCTCTTCTTCTCCCCAGTGCTAATATATTCTCAGTCTAGTTATGTCCCCATCTGCAGTTACATTCTGGGCAACACTGTTAAAATTACATAAACATCAATATTGGGCATACATTTTTTTAAAAGTCAGTCAAACACTCCACTCCTCTCTCCACAATTCCTGACATTTTCACTGCATTTCACCCAGTGATGAATGAGCATGCAGAATGAAAAGCCGAAGTTGAACAAGCTTTTATTTTTTTTTAAAAAAGTTAATTCCTACCTTTATCATTCTAGAGAGATCACCAGCATCAGCTAATTCCAACACTATGTTCAGTTCATTGTCTTCAATGAATGAGGCATAATATTTAATTACATTTGGATGATTCAGTTGCTAAGAAAGCAGAATAAAGCACATTTTAGTGTAGAGCATCTTATCTTTTAAGACTGACAAATGAAACATTCTTATTTAGACAAACCCCTAAAAAATCTACTTCAGCATGATGCACAAAATATATGCCTATGAGAAACATTTACAGATATACATTTTGCAAGAATTTGATGGTGTTTTAAGATCAACATGATGATTGAAGTTTCAATTTTAGAGGAATTTTGCTTCAATGTATCTGTGCTATGCAAAACTTATCTGAAACAGCAAAGTAAAATTTTAAAAACAGTATTTTACTGTACACAGGACACAGCTGTTTACAATACTGTGGTTTTAGCAGAAACTTCTACTTGAAAAATTACCCATTCTTCTATAGGATTTACTTCTGAATGTTCATTTTTAAATCATTGAAGATTACAAAATTCCCTTAAATGAGGTTATAAAAACTCTACACAGACAACAGTGGGCACCTGAACTATATCTATGAAAAACTTAATATACTTTGATGATGGCTGTATATTTTTTAAATAAATCTTTTACCTTAAGAAGATCTATTTCTTTGATACAGTCAGCACGGGCTTTGGCATCCATTAAATCAAATATCTATGCACAAGAGATAAGGCATTTTTATTATGTGATAAAAATATAGCAAATCTGGTGATCATTATCATTATTTCATAGCATCCATAAAGCAACTTAAGTTATGCATTTCATGTCAAGATGTAACATTGCAGTAAGTAGTAGTCCCAATGTTCTGATATACTGCTATATTGATTCTTTTAGTCCCCTCATAGGAAACAGGTCCATTACAAGTAAAAGTTTTTCAATTACTTAATTGCCACCTCCATGTATCTGTTCAAACACACAGCAGTAATTCAGCATATTTCCTTCAAATTGGTTCTAAACCAAATGTCAGCTTCCTCTCCCATTTCTGCCACACCATTATCACAAACTGATTCTTTCTAGTACCGAGTATAACCTTTTTTCCTAGTCTCTTGCTACAATATTCCTTTTCTGTTCTAAATAATACATGCACTTTTACTCTCAGGATCAGAACTTCACTGTCACCTCTAATTCTTTCTCTGCCATTTCCTTACCCTCACCAAGCAAAGAAATTATTTGGGTTCTGTAATTTGTTTACTAGAGCACCTTTTTCTAAGCCCTCATCTGTCACCTTGACTTTTACAGCCTTTTACAGTGAGACATCTCTGCTCTTTCCCCCCCCCCACCTCCATCTGATCCAAATTTCTTTGCAATGTATCTCATTTTTGCCGCCTCCCGGTAACCACATACTCTCCAGCGATTTCAATTTTTGTCTGAAGTAAATTTTTCGTGCCATTAGAGTCCTTACCCATGCTCTACACATTATATTTAATCTAATGTCTTTCTATTTTCACTCCATTTTTCTACCACCTTTAGGTTCCCTTCTCACATCACTTCTTCAGATGTGCATCTCCATACACTGCGATTGACTATTCACATTAGAAATGACCAAAATGTTAATCCTACAAGTAACCCTTCCTCTCTCATTTCCCATTACTTTCTGAATTTCAAAAACAAAACCAAAAACCAACCACCACCACCCACCCAAACAAACAAAACAAAACACTCAACTTACATGTGGTCTGCCTATTACATTTGGAGCTATCCAGAAGAATAGTAGATACACACTTTGAGTTTTAGTAATTGCTACAACATTTATGAGATTACCTTTTCCACTTACATCTTTTCAACGCACATCATTTCTTTCTAGATAGTCTCAAGAAAAAGATGTATTATCTGCTGTGAAGATCACTGGTACCTGGTTCCACCAGCTCAAAATGATCAAAAGTTCAACAGCTGACAACTTCCATTTCATATCTTGCCACCAACCCCAGAAACAAAAATAAGTATTAACAGCACTTTGAGTACTGAATGTCTGCAAAGAGGTCATCTCTTAAACTGACTGCATAACAGTCCATGTGAATCACACCTTCTTTCACCCTCCCCAAAGAAGGCCACATATGATCTGCTAAACCTCATCTTTACTTTCTACACTACTGCACACAAGAAGTTCATGATTCTTTAATCAAATGAAAGGAGAAGTCTAGAGACTTCATGCAAGAAGCACAGTCCTCACAGAGCACACATGTGCTCTTGACTAGCCACTACTTCCCTTCAGACAACCAATCTTCTGTCTTCAGAACTGGCATAAGAAAAAACAGCCTGGAGTGGAGACAAGATACAATTTTTGACAAAAAGACAACTCTAAGTCAAGAACTGAAATGCCAGACTTGTGTATCGTAGAAGAAAAGGGGGAGGAGGAAGGAAAGAAGAAAACAAAACTACTTAACAAGAAAGAAAGAGAACAAACCATCTCATAGCTACTTGTATATTAATGCCAGGATGATGGAAAATAAACAGACTGAGCTAGAAGCAATTATTCAAGGCATAGACTATGGAGGACAACAGAAACACAGCAGGTTAAGTCACAAGAAAGGAATGCTAACATTAAGAAATAAAGCAATTTCAGATGTAGTAGAAGAAAAGAGTTAGTACTATATATGAAACTACAGGTACAAGTATTAAAAGGTAAACAACCCTGATGGAAAAGACAGAAAAGAGAGTTTATAAATTAAGGTTGGGAATTTAGTGAAGGAGATTAAATAGCCTACATCTGTCACAGATCTCAACTATGAATGAAAAAACATTGCTCTTTAATCGTTTTGACAATAGACTAAAGTCCTAGTGTTTGGTACAGTCATGAAGGACTGCAATGATTTTGCTAGGAAACATTTAGGAAAGTTCTAAATATGATAGGTAATAGAACATTAATGGAGGAAGTACAGGAAAGGCAGGAGATCGTAACTGTCTTTCCATAAAAACTAAGAGATCAGCAAATGGAAAATTTTCTACCCCCTCTCCCAAAACCAATCAATGAAAGTGTGTACCAGGGAGCAGGGTAAAAAGGGGACAGGTATAGGAACATGTCTTGCAGCTTCACACTTTTGCGAAGTTCTAGATAATAGTGAAATAAGAATGTTCCTTACAAAGGATACAGATATTAAACAGAGAACTTGAAACACACTGGATAACCTAATCAAAGCTACAGACAGAATTTTACACTGAAAACTGTATTAACTTACCCATGTACCATGAATATTTCTCTACACACCTAAACGAGCAAATTTTGCAAGCAAGATATGTTTATAAGCTATGCCTCTGATAAGGACATAAACCAGTATTTCTCAGAGAAATAACAAAACAAAAATAAAGCCCTAGACTCAGAACTATGAAAAATCTAGGATCAAGGCATAGGAAAGAAAGACCAAGTTTTGTTTGTGTATTTTGGCTACTATTCCCAGTAATTTCTAAAGAGCCTAGAGTAGGTTAGACCAAGCAGCAGCTCTCACAAAGGACAGACTTAAGTTTTATCAACATGACTCTCTACACTGTTGCTACACTTCATACAGCAGTGACAAATTTGTCACAGCTTCAGCTAAACTGAATATTTTAAACATTACCTGAATAAAGCAAGACAGAAAACTGAGTCTTATTTGATCACAGCATCACAGAATACCAGGTTGGAAGGGACCTCAAGGGTCATCTGGTCTAAATTTCCATGGCAAAAGCACAATCTAGACAAGATGGCCCAGCACCCTGTCCAGATGAATCTTAAAAGTGTCCAGTGTTGGGGAATCCAACACTTCCCTGGGGAGATTATTCTAGTGGATGACTGATGTCATTTCCTCTTGTGTCCAATCGGAATCTCCCCAGCAGTAACTTTTACTCATTACCCCAAGTCTTTTCCATGTGACTCCTTGTAAAAAGGGAGTCTCCATCTTCTTCGCAGCCACCCTTTAAATACTGGAACACGGTGATAAGGTCTCCCCTAAGCCTTCTTCTCTCAAGGCCGAACAAAGCCAAACCTTTCAACCTTTCCTCATATGACAGACTGCCCAGTCCCCTGATCATCTTTGTGATCCTTCTCTGGGCCATCTCCAGCCTGTCCACACATGTTTTGTAGAATATGATCCTTACAAATACAGACCATCTGAAGATCTACTGTACATCATTCTTGAGGTTCTCCATTAGACTTTGGCCCACATCTAACCTCAAAAGACTATAAATAGCATTTCCCAGAAACCCAGTATTTCATTTGCACAGGAGCTAACTTCCTCCAGCAATAAGATTAGGGAAGAAAAATGACAACCCTAAACAACTACAAAAACAAACAAACAAAATCACCAATTCATTGTCTCTGAAGAACCTCTGCCATAATGTCCTGGGTTCAGTTGAGATAGACTTAATTTTTACAAGAAGCTGGGAGGGGTCACAGTCAGGACAGTTGACTCAGACTAGCCAAGGGGACATTTGATACCATGTGATGTCATGCTGAGGATATGAACTGGGGGAGCTGGCAGAGGAGAGGAGGGATCATGGCTCGGAAAACCGCTAGGCACTGGGCTTCATGCAGCAAGCAACTGCACTGTGTATCACTCACTTCGTATACTCTTATTAGTATTGCTGTTGTTGTTATTATTACTTTCTCCCCTTGTGTTGTCCTATTAAGCTGTCCCCTCTCAACTCATGAGTTTTTACCTTTTTCTTCCAATCCTCCTCCCCATTCCAGCAGAGTGAGTGCTTAGTTGCCAACTGGGCTTAAACCATGACACCTATCATAACAGATTCAAACATCTTGCAGAGATTTTCCTTCCGAATAGATTACCTTTCCATTTTGCCAAACTGCTGCAGTTCAGATCAGAGGCCACTAGTGTAATAAACCCTGTCAGCTCACACAAGGAAGTTACTCTAAACACAATGAAAGAACCTCCGTGCTTCATCACCAGAAGATGACTCAACACTGAAGAATGTCTTACACTGAAAAATGAAAGCCACAATGTAGGATTTTTAGAGTTTAAGAACATCCTTTTAAGTGCACATCAAAATTTCACAGCACCTGGCAGCACTCAGAAGGCTTGTTTTACAGGAGCTGCCGCAGACCCAATGACCATGCAGGAGAAGCTGCCCTCAGCTTGGGGTTTACTGCAGAGCGGCCATCAATGGAACAGTATGAAGTGATGTCAGTGCTTCCATCGCAACAGTAACAGCTTATAGCTTTGCAAGCTGACTAATTCTATCTTCAGCTACTATACTCAGCAAGCCAAACTGAAAGGTCAGCTTATGTTCCCCCCTCTTTAACAGGAGTCTTACACACAGATCTATCTCGCCCACCACGACTTGTAGCCCTGTAAAGCCAGTACTGACACTGCTATTAGCAGGCCTCAGAGTGCCCCAGAAACATACGGCCTAAGAACTTGTAAACTTTTGTCTGGACTTCTCTTGGCCTGCACTTACTATGTGAGCTTGGCTTTAAGATGTGGCAGCACATGCCTTGCAGCTGAGTGACTAAACAAAAATCATTACAGTTAAATGACTTCTGTCTAACGATTTTAGATTCAGCTCAGCTTTGTGCAACTGCACAGTCTTAAGGAAATCATAGCTGATACAATAAAGGTCTAAGAGTGATTAACAACTGTAAGCTTCTGGATCAACACAAAGCATTAGCAACTGACTGCTTGAAAGCACCCAGCAAAAACCCACGTAGAGCCACTCCTCCTCCC